ATGAAAGTGATTGTGATACTTCTTTATAGTGAAGCGCTCCTTTTAAACCTAATCGATATTTTTTAGAATCGAGAATATTTTCTTAAAAAATCTAATCTACTTTTTATTTCCTTTCTGATCAAAATTATATCTACGAATTTTCATTATCTGGATATGGAATAAACGTTGGTACACAATAAATCACAAATAATTAAAACATTATGCATTTTATTCTATAAAAACAACAAATAACAATAACAAACAACTCGTGGAGAAATCGCATAAATTCAATCAGCAATCGAGATAAGTGGTCAAAAATCTCAACTTGGAAAGCTATTCGGATAATAAATCCCAATGTCCTATCCTTCTCAGGTTCGTCCAAGAGTGCGAGGAAGTCCAAGAATGGATAAGCGAGCAAATGTCTGCAGCCGCCAGCGAGGAGTACGGGCTGGACGTAGAACATGTGGAGACCCTGCAGCAGGCCTTCGACAACTTCCTCGCGCAACTGCACGGTCAGTATACTGCTGTACTGTATTATAGTGGACTGTACTGTATTATAGGAGACTGTACTGGTACATAGTAGACTAAAATGAACCATAGTGGACTGACAGGATACTTAAGTGGACCATAGTAGACCATTATGTACCGTAGAAGATCGCATTGAATTGTAGGAGACTGATACGATTCCTGGCGCAACTGAACGGTCAGTATGCTGCTGTAATGGGTTGTACTGGATGATAGGGGACTGTACTGAACTATAGGATTTTGTACTGACTTTCTGGCACAGCTGCACGTACTGCGTGGCTAAGGGACTATACTGTAGCATAGAGGACTGTACTGGACTATAGGAGACTGTACAGGACCATAGGGGGCTGTACTGCACCATAGGAGCCTGTACTGACTTCCGCAGCTGTAGTGCTGAGGATTGTACTGTGTCTGTGTCACAGGGGTGCGTTCTAGTCCTCAAAGAGACTAAAATTAATTATAGCGGACGGTAGAGAACCATAGCGGACGGTACTGTAGCAAAGGAGACTTTGGTGTAGCAAGCAACCCTGTGGTGAGCAATAAATACTACAATAGTACTGGACCATTGTGGACAGATACTGCAGTCTGCAGTACTTCGTACTGAATAACATACCGCACATCACAATTTATTTACCATAAAATATTAATTCCACAGCCAACGAAGGCCGCATAGAGGCGGTGTGTGAGAGTGGCAACGCCCTTTTGGAAGAGAACGCGCCGGAAGCAGACAAGGTCAAGCAACGCGTGGAGGACACCAGAGGACTATGGGAGGACCTGAAGGAACTGGCACTCGCTAGGCAGGAGGTAAGTTGGTCAAAGTCTTTTGAGATACCTAGCCTCCTCTATAACGTCATAGTATAGTTGCCCTCTTGGAAAAAACTTGGAGAAAACTCATGGAAAAACTTGGAGGAATTGACATTCGCTCGACAAGAGATTTACAAAACGTTTTCGGAGTGATCATCACTTTCCATCAGGTGAAATGCAGGTCTAGAGCTTCCTTGTTGTGGATAAAAAATCGTCATATTGTAGCTTTAGGTCGTCAATATCTAGACACATTTTTAAGCCCTAATTATTATTCGTTTAGAATTGTAAAAATTACAATTAAATACCAACTGAATGCCGTATGTACCTGTTTTACCTTCATCATAACCATTTTGTAATGATTACACCTAAAATATTTGGTCCTACCGGTATTCGGTCCAAGGTGAACCGACGACCTGATAAAGATAGCAGAAAGGCGCTGGATGCAGGCCGCTACCAACCGTGCGATGTGGAAGTCATTGGGGAAGGCTTATGTTCAGCAGTGGACATCCTGTGGCTGAAATGATGATAATTTGGTCCTACGAGCTGATTATGATCTAGCGCTCTATGGATTACTGGTCCTTCGAGCCGGATCAGTGACTTATGTATTAATAGAATAGATTTATTGACACAATACAGAAAAAAACAACAAAGACACTTATATGTTGGTAGGCTATTTTAATAGCCTACCTTTGTTTTAATAAAGAGGTAAAGGTGAGAAAAAACTGTGCCAATAGACACCTGCTCAGCATTTATCGTGACATGCTCAAAAGATCAAGTCACGAAGCTGGTCTTCCGCGGAAACCCTTGCTTATTGCGCATCCCTTGGAGAAGAACCTCGATATTTATTTTCTTCTTACCTTCCCAGGCCCTAGCAGGCGCTCGCCAAGTCCACGAGTTCGACCGCTCCGCAGACGAGACGGCAGCCTGGGTGGCGGAGAAGGAAGCACTGTTACCGGACGCAGGCGCGCGGTCAAGGACTGAACTGCACGCGCAGAAGCGACGCCTTACAGCGCTGCACGCTGATTTGGACGCTATAAGGGCTAGACACGCTGGACTGAAGGAAGAGGCTGCTAGGTAAGTGAATATTAAGTATGTGTGAGAGAGAGAGAGAGAATAGGATAAAGAGAAAGAGAGAAATAAGAGTAGGACGCGCAGAAGCGACGCCTTACCACGTTGCTAGCTGATTTGGACTAGCGTCCAAATTACGGGCGAGACACGCTAAAGCCTGGTCCGTGAGCACGTAGAATCCCGTCCAATGACCCCAAGCTGCCCATCGCGTCGCACAGTCGCGACAGCAATATAATTACGCGCGAGCGATAAGGATGGGTAGCTTGGGGTCATTGGACGGGATTCTACGTGCTCACGGACCAGGCTTTAGTCTTAAAAACTATGCTGCTAGGTAAGTGAAATTGACGGTAGTTCAAGCAAGACAGTCAAAATAGCGCGAGACGCGTGCACTGCACGTCGTGCTGGCTGCACGAGCACGTCTCCTTAATTCAAGGACATGTGTGTGTGACGAGACGGCAGCCTGGGTGGCGGAGAAGGAGGCATTGTTACCGGACGCAGACGCGCGGTCTAGGACAGAACTGCACGCGCAGAAGCGACGTCTTACTGCACTGCACGCTGATTTGGACGCTATAAGGGCGAGACACGCTGGTCTTAAGGAAGAAGCTGCTAGGTAAGTGGATATTAGTGTGTGTGTGTGTGTGAGAGAGAGAGAGACGAGCACGTGAGAGAGAGTGACTGCACGGGCAGAAACGACTCTACTGCGTTGCATGCGGATTTGGACGCTATAAGGGCTAGACACGCTGGACTGAAGGAAGAAGCTGCTAGGTAAGTTATTAAGTGAGTGAGCTAGAGAGAGAGAATAGGGGATAGAGAGTGAGGGAGAGAGAGAAATAGCTGCATGCACAGAAGCGACGCCTTACTGCACTGCACGCTGATTTGGACGCTATACGGGCGAGACACGCTGGTTTGAAGGAAGAGGCTGCTAGGTAAATGAATATTAAGTATGTGAGAGAGAGAGAGAGAGACGAGCACGTAAGAGAGAGAGTGACTGCACGGGCAAAAATGACTCTCTACTGCGTTGCATGCGGATTTGGACGCTATACGGGCGAGACACGCTGGATTGAAGGAGGAAGCCGCCAGGTAAAACATACGAGCACGCCTTTCAAACGAGCACGCTGGTATCAGGAGAAAGAAGAGAGAGTGACTTATTGCATTGCATGCGGATTTGGACGCTATACGGGCGAGACACGCTGGTTTGAAGGAAGAGGCTGCTAGGTAAGTGAATATTAAGTGAGAGAAAGATGCAAGAAAGACAGAATAGGAAAGAGTGAGAAAGGGAGATAGTTGCACGCGCAGAAGCGACGCCTTACTGCGCTGCACGCTGATTTGGACGCTATACGGGCGAGACACGCTGATTTGGACGCTATACGGGCGAGACACGCTGGATTAAAGGAAGAGGCTGCTAGGTAAGTGAATATTAAGTATGTGTGATAGAGAGAGAGCAAGAGAAATAAGACTAGGACGCTCAGAAGTGACGCCTTACAGCGCTGCATGCGGATTTGGATGCTATACGGGCGAGACACGCTGGACTCAAGGAAGAAGCTGCAAGGTAAAACACTCGTGTACTGTATATTGCTTTAGCACGTCACACGCGTCAAGGAGCGAGTAATGCGAGCACGCCCTTCAAACGAGCACGCTGGTATCAGGAGAGAGAAGAGAGTGACTTATTGCATTGAATGCGGATTTGGACGCTATACGGGCGAGACACGCTGGTTTGAAGGAAGAGGCTGCTAGGTAAGTGAATATTAAGTGAGAGAAAGATGCAAGAAAGACAGAATAGGAAAGAGTGAGAAAGGGAGATAGTTGCACGCGCAGAAGCGACGCCTTACTGCGCTGCACGCTGATTTGGACGCTATACGGGCGAGACACGCTGGTCTTAAGGAAGAAGCTGCTAGGTGAGTAGATACTAAGCGAGAAAGAGAGATCAGGAGAGAGAAGGAGAGAACTGCACTCGCAGAAGTGACGCCTTTCCTCGCTGCACGCTGATTTGGACGCTATAAGAGCTAGACACGCTGGATTGAAGAAGGAAGAAGCCGCCAGGTAAAACACTCGTGTACTGGATATTGCTTTAGCATGTCACACGCGTCAAGGAGCGAGTAATGTCAGCACGCCTTTCAAACGAGCACGCTGGTATCAGGAGAGAGAAGAAAGAGTGAGCTGCTTGATCAGAAGCGACGCCTTACTGCATTGTATGCGGATTTGGACGCTATAAGAGCGAGACACGCTGGATTCAAGGAAGAAGCTGCTAGGTAAGTGGATATTTAGTGTGTGTGTGAGAGAGAGAGAGAGAGAGAGACGAGTAGGTGAAAGAGAGAGGGAGAGAGAAATAGCTGCATGCACAGAAGCGACGTCTTACTGCGCTGCACGCTGATTTGGACGCTATACGCGGAGACACGCTGGATTGAAGGAGGAAGCTGCTAGGTAAGATGACGGACTAAAGCAGCGGTTACACAGGCGTCTAGTACATGGAGCCTTAAGGATACGTCACCAGACACATTAGACGACGGATTCAGCTGACTTAAATGCAAATCGACTATAGCATTAGGGCTGAGTTAGGAGGCAAATTTTATACTTTTGTACTGGTCGTAGAGTGGTGATTTTATACCCAGCTGAACCGGATACATTGCGCAAATGAAGAGCCCTCGCCCACGGCGACTTTTTGTAGCGATGCTGTTATTCCGACTAAGCAAATTAGGTAGATGTTATTTAAATTTTAATTAATAATTAATTGACTTGTGTAAACATTTGCATGCTGGTTCGTATCTGGCGAATGTGTCCTGCTCCATTTCATTATGTAACATCTAATGTACCACATTCTGCAAATAAAAATTTGAATTTGAATTTGCAGTCGCGCTGTTAGTAGCGCGTTGGCATCACTTATGTAGTGCGTTGCAAATGCGACTTACGCGCGTTAGTAGCGATGCTGTCGCGCGTTTCGTAAACGCTGTGAAAAATTTCGCCGTGGGCGAGGGTCCGAAGAGAAACCAGTAAATATATGAATGATTCGATAATACGATTCCAGAACTTAACACACTCTTAAAAATCAATTTTTGTTACAACCATGCCTATTCTTAATTTTGAACTTGAACTCACTTACATTTATGTTTTTGACACTATTTCTGTCTACCCGCAGACTGGGCACAGCATTCCCCGACGCGAAGGAGCACGTGACAGCCAAGTTGGAAGACGTTTCGGAAGCGCTGGAGGCACTCGCAGCGAGAGCAGACCACGCGGGCACACAGGTTGAGCTGGCGGAACAGCTGCAAGCCTACTTTGGGACTTACCAGGAACTGCTGTGAGTATTGACAGTAAAAAGCTTTTCAGATATGCTGCTGTGAGTACCAGGAGGCTATGAATGCAAGGAGGGAGCATTATTGAGGCGCTGGAAACACTGAAAGCGTGCAGGTCTCCAGATGAAACCTATCTAAGGCTTAGGCTTCAGGTGTAGAGTGTCATCTAAGCGCTGGAGGCACTCGCGGCGAGAGCAGACCACGCGGGGACGCAGGTCGAGCTGGCGGAACAACTGCAGGCCTACTTCGGGACCTACCAGGAACTGCTGTGAGTATTGACTGTTGAAACAGTTCCTGCAAAAAACGGGAGGTATCCATGGAAAAGAGCCCTATTATTGAGGCGCTGGTGAGTTAGCGGGACAGCTGCAAGCCTACTTTGGGACTTACCAGGAGCTGCTGTGAGTATTGACTGTTAAAACAGTTCCTGCATAAAACGGGAAGTGGGAAAGAGCCCTATTATTGAGGCGCTGGCCTACCTGATAAAGGTAGCAGGAAGGCGCTGGATGCAGGCCGCTACCAACCGTGCGATGTGGAAGTCATTGGAGCAGGTCTATGTTCAGCAGTGGACGTTCTGTGGCTGAAATGATGATGATGAGTACTATAGTCTGGTCCGTGAGCACGTAGAATTTTGTCGAATGACCCCAAGCTACCCATTCGCTCGCGCGTAATTATATTGCTGTCGCGACTGTGCGACGGGCGCCCGCAGTGAGTGTGCGAGCGCGACAGCAACATAATTACGCGCGAGCGATAAGGATGGGTAGCTAGGGGTCATTGGACAAAATTCTACGTGCTCACGGACTGGGCTTGAGAAGGCTTAGACTGCAGGTGTAAAGACGCTGGAAACACTGAAAGCGTGCAGGTCTCCAGATGAAACCTGTCTTAGGCTTAGGCTTCAGGTGTAGAGTGTCATTTAAGCGCTGGAAGTGCTCGCAGCGAGAGCAGACCACGCGGGGACGCAGGTCGAGCTGGCGGAACAACTGCAGGCCTACTTCGGGACCTACCAGGAGCTGCTGTGAGTATTGACTGTTAAAACAGTTCCTGCAAAAAACGGGAAGTGGGAAAGAGGCCTATTTTGATGCGCTGGCTAGGCGGGCAGCACCCGGCTTACAGGTGGAGTTACGGGGCAGCTGTGAGTATTGAAGACAGAAAGGAGTGCAGTTGAGGATGCGCTTAAGAAAAAAGAAAGCGCTCTTACAGCGTTTTACTAATACGAACCTTCCCATCAGTGACATTGACAGGGGGGCGCTACCGTCAATACCGGAACGCTGGTTCCGATTTTTGCCATGTTGGAAACTTAAAATTTAACGATGGTGGTGCACCCTATCCATGAGTTTGGTGGAACAGTTCAGTGTAGTTCATCTATAATCTGTTGTGCGATTCACCTGTCAATCGCCACTTTAGTGGTCTCTATCTGAACAAATTTAAGGTCATAGCACACTTATCTACCCGGAAAGAGAACACCGTCAACCGCTAGGCGAGGCATTAACGTTACGGTGCGAAGTTTCATACAAATAACACTTACCACCTCAAGTTGATATGGTTACGATCCGTTTCCAAGTTGATAAGTGTCCTTCGTCCTTTAGGGTTAATTTTTGATTGACACATATCGCCGAATGCTATCAGTTTGCTGTGACTATCGCTAACGAACAGTATTTTGTAAGTACTGAAATTTACAGATGATAGCACGTTGAGTTAAATGCGACGTGATTTTGCTACTACAATGTACTGTTTCTGATTCTTTTTAAAAAATGACGCGTTGTAACCTATTATTGCCATATTAATGGGACTATTCCCACCTCTCTTGCCAAAACCCAACCAGTGAAGGTTAAGTTTGTCCAATATTGCCATATATCATTTTCTGAATATATGTCTAACCAACCCAACCTTCCAGTGCGTGGACCAACGAGATGATCGCGCGCGTGACGGCCGCGGAACTGGCGCGCGACGTGGCCGGAGCGGAGAGACTGCTGGCGAGGCACAAGGACATGCGAGCGGAGATCGACGCCAAGGACGATGACTTCCAGAGGCACTACCACGATGGTGAGTCTTATGTGAGCGGAATAGGAGCGAAATTGCAAAGAGACGAGACTTTTGAAGACTCTTAGAGGCATTACCATTTACCAGGATAGTGAGCTCTCTTACATTGTAATAAGGGCGAGTTTCCCAACCACATGGTGATAATGACCTCATAAAGGTAGCAGGAAGGCGCTGGAAACACTGCCACAATGGTGAGTCTTATGTGGGTGGAATAGGAGCGAGATTGCAATGGCTAGAGACTGCTGGCGAGACACAAGGACATGCGAGCGGAGATGACGATGAGGAAACGCCAAGGAGGACGACTTCCAGAGGCACTACCACGACGGTAAGCTCTCTTGTAATACGGTCGATTTTTCATTAGGTGTATAGATGATGCCATCCACGAAGACGCGCCCCACCATTCTTCCGCTAATGTTTGAGTGTTATCGGTACACGCTAAATGCTCCATGAGTGCACACGCACACTACAGTAATGCCTTACGGCTTGCTCGGACCACACTCCCCGCACCCCGCGCGACCGGGACCAAACATTGGTGGGGCGCGGCCGAGTGGATGGAAAGAACTATACAGATGACCTCATAAAGGTAGCAGGAAGGCGCTGGATACACTACTATGACGGTGAATGTTATACCGCAGCTACACTACTCGCTTGGACGCAGTACCGAAGTTAGCCGAGTAGTGTAGTCAGATACTTCGTATTCAAACACGTGTTTGGTATCTTCTCAGAATACAGAACAAACCAGAAGGAGTGTTCGATAACATTTCTACGCGGCAACTTGTGTCCAAAATACTTCCCCTCCCGCGCCCCTTTACCCCCTTTAGTGTTACTAGCGCCGTGTGACACCCCCATTTTCGGGGTAAAATTATGTAATTTTTTAATGAGATGTTAAACAAGTAAAAATAAGTAAGTGAAATAAGTACACACGGCCACAGTATTAACTATCCATTTCCGTTTTTGCTCTCGCTCTCATCAAATGGTGATTCTTTGCGATAGAACGAGACGACATGACTGGCCATAGGCATAGATAGTACCTACCTACCTATGAATTTAATTTTTACTCCGAAGTAACTAAGTGTAGATGATTATTTATTTCTATGAAATAGTTTAATATACTACATGTAGGTATAATAATGTTATTTAAAAGTCAATTACAAAATTCGAATATAAATTTTAGAATGCCAAGTAAAACAAAAAAGAAACTTAAGGTTCTTTATTATGTAAACATATCGACAACAAAACATTTGTTTACGGCGCAGTAGTGCTTTTAGTTTAACTTTTCTTGGAGTCAAAAACAGAATCCAAATCAAAAACATCACCAATACTTGAATTTGATTGCGAGGCAACTCTGGCTGTGTATCCTGAAAGAAAATCAGAGTAAGTATGTAAGCAATAATTAATTACTTAAAATTATTATTAAGTCATGGATGAAAATACACTAAAAACTAATTAAAACAAAAAGGATGGGGAAAATATTCCATTATTCTGTGGTAACGCTAACAAAATTAACGCGTGAATTTTTTATAGACAAATGTAATTCAATATAAAAAAGTAGGGTAAAATATTGGGTCCGTGGCCGAGTCCCCCAGTATTTGACGCACCCGTGGTGGACGCCCCCGATTTAAATAAATTTAATATCATATTTTTTTTCGGCTTTTGCACTAAGTACAGTCAACGAAAAAAGTTTCACAAGCTAATTATTATACTAAACTATGCATGTTTGACGCTATTTATGCAATCTGGGAGCAAAATTTTAACCCAAAACCAGCAGTAGTAAGAAACAAAAAACTTTTGTAGGAATTATTTTCATTTCATTAGATTCATTTTTGTGTTTAATTCTACTGGCCTAATAAATATTTATTCGTTTATAAACATTTTTGTGCCTGACTGTACATTTGATAAAAATTGCTTCAAATCGAATTTAACTGACCGGGGGCGTCGACCACGGGTGCGTCGAAAACTGGGGGACTCGGCCACGGACCCAAAATATTCCGTTGACTTGTGGCAACACTTACAAAATACAACCGTGATTTTTTTAGAAAATTATTATTTAATTAAAATGAATTGGAAATGTGCTACTTACGGATAAAACATGATCCCATGCACTTTCTTCGTAATTCCAGTAGCATTCTTACATGTTGGAACGGCACAAGACGGCATAATTTAATTTTAAAGTGTCAATCTGACGGATATGTAAACATAGCGCGCCGGCCATTGACTAATTGCTCTAAAGTCAAATTAGTGCGTTTTGGAGTAATTTATATGAATACACATTTACGCCCGTTGACGGTTTCTGGTTTGTTCCGTATTCTGAGGGTATCTTATATCGTAGCTACGCTACACGCTTGGACGCTTCGTTGCAGTACTGAAGTTAGCCGAGTAGTGTAGTCAGATACTTTATATTCAAATGCGTTTTTGGAACGTTTCGAGCCCTTTGACTCTTGCGCAAATTAGACAAACAGAAGTCGGACGTGGCGAGACGAAGTTACTCGAAACGAAGCGTGTGTGCACACCATCTACTTCGATTAACTTCGCGAGTAGTGTAGCTGCGGTGTGATGTAGTCGGAACTGGCACGTGACGTGGCCGGAGCGGAGAGACTGCTGGCGAGGCACAAGGACATGCGAGCAGAGATCGACGCGAAGGAGGATGACTTCCAGAGGCACTACCACGACGGTAAGTTTTCTCACGTTGTGATAAGGGCGTTTTTCCCACCTACAAGGTGATAAATGACCTCATAAAGGTAGCAGGAAGGCGCTGGAAACACTACCACGACGGTGAGTCTTATGTGGGCGGGATAGGAGCGAAATTGCAATGGCTAGAGACTGCTGGCGAGACATAAGGACATGCGAGCGGAGATGACGATGAGGAGACGCCAAGGAGGACGACTTCCAGAGGCACTACCACGACGGTAAGTTCTCTTGTAATACGGTCGATTTTTCATTAGGTATATAGATGATGCCATCCACGAAGACGCGCCCCACCATTCTTCCGCTAATGTTTGAGTGTTATCGGTACACGCTAAATGATCCATGAGTGCACACGCACACTACAATAATGCCACTCGGATTGCTCGGATCAAATTCCGCACCCCGCGCGACCGAGACCAGAAATTGGTGGGGCGCATCATCGTGTATGGAACAATCTATACAGATGACCTCATAAAGGTAGCAGGAAGGCGCTGGAGACACTATCACGACAGTGAGTGTTAATCCCAGCTACGCTACACGCTCGGACGCTTCAACAAAGTAGGTACCGAATTTAGCCGAATAATCTAGTCAGATAATTTTTATTCAAACGCGTTTTTGGAACGTTTCGAGCCCTTTGACTCTTGCGCAAATTAGACAAACAGAAGTCGGACGTGGCGAAACGAAGTTACTCGAAACGAAGCGTGTGTGCACACCATCTACTTCGATTAACTTTGCGAGTAGTGTAGCTGCGGTGTTATGTAGTCGGAACTGGTGCGCGACGTGGCCGGAGCGGAGAGACTGCTGGCCAGACACAAAGACATGCGAGCAGAGATCGACGCGAAGTAGGACGACTTCCAGAGGCACTACCACGACGGTAAGTAGCTTCATCATCATCTTCAGTGTGTTTACCATGAGTTTACGTTACGTGTGCTCGCTAGCGACTGCGTAAAAAAATGACATTAATTGTATGACATATTGTGCAGCGCCCCTAGCGGCTACTTTCAAGAAACAAAATCTCCATAGAGATTTTTGACGTTTTCGCTAGCGAGCTTACCTAACGTAAACTCATGGTAGGTACACTGGTCATTCAGTCTCCATTAAAGGAGCAGGACTCTAATTTACCAGAGGCAAATGGAGGATTTGGCCCACACTCCCCACGCTGACCAGACGCTGAGGTTGGGGATCTGATAATTTGTGCCTTAGTCGCCTTGGGTATAGGTTATGTAATTGAAATAGGAGCTATTTTCCTTCAATCATTTTTCTGAATGGGCTGTCAACTATAATTTACGTACATAAGGATGAAGAACCCGAATCAAGGATGAAAGGCGTCTCTATTAATTATTAGGGCTGTACACTTACAGGACTGAAAAAATATCATTGTTAAATGATGGGTCCTCATAAAATTAATTGCTTATTGTTCGTGATATGCATATTTTCTTAAACGTTGTTTAAATATTTGTTTGTCAGCTGTCATCCGCTTTTCGCTGGAGGGTAGTCGTTCCTTAATTTCGAATTCTCTTCTTTTGATTAATTTCGTTGCCAGCCCAATGATAATTTAACTTTCCCGGCTGACTGTCAAGCTGTATATTTTTGCTATACAGTCTTGGTACTGGACTTCTCCCACCTCTCGTTCCCACAGCTGCAACTCCTATGTAGTCAAGGTTGGACGCCAAAAATGTCCCAGATATTGTCCATTGTGCACTTTTGTGATTGCTTTTTCTTTTTCTAGGCGAGAAACTAATCCACGACGGCCACTTCATGTCGGCGGAGATCGAAGAGCGAATGAGCGTCCTACGCAGCCGCCGCGCGCAGTTAGAAGCCGCCTGGGAACGACGCAGCACCGTCTACGCACAGCATCTGGACGCGTTGCTGTTCAGACGGGATGCCGACGCTCTGAGTGGCTGGATAGAGAGCAGGTACGTACATAGAGGGAGTGACAGCTGGTACATTATGTAGAGAGAAAAAGAGACGCGCGCAGTTAGAGAACGCAGCACCGTCTACGCACAACATTTGGACGCATTGCTGTTCAGACGGGATGCTGACGCTCTTAGTGGCTGGATAGAGAGCAGGTACGTACAGAGAGAGAGAGAGCAGGTATAGTCTGGTCTCTGAGCACGTAGAATTTTGTCCATTGACTCCAAGCTACCCATCCTTATTGCTCGCGCGTAATTATATTGCTGTTGCGCTCGCACACTCACTGCGGGCGCCCGTCGCACAGTCGCGATAGCAATATAATTACGCGCGAGCGATAAGGATGGGTAGCTTGGGGTCAATGGGCAAAATTCTACGTGCAAGACCAGGCTTTAGACATAGAGAGAAAGAGACGCGCGCAGTTAGAAGCCGCCTGGGAGAGACGCAGCACCGTCTACGCACAGCATCTGGACGCATTACTGTTCAGATGGGATGCCGACGCTCTTAGTGGCTGGATAGAGAGCAGGTACGTATGAGAGAGAGAGAGCGGGTACATATGGAGAGAGAGAAAGAGACGCGCTCAGTTTGAAGCCGTGTCGGAGCGAGCACTGTCTACGCACAGCATCTGGACGCATTACTGTTCAGACGGGACGCCGACGCTCTGAGTGGCTGGATAGAGAGCAGGAACGTACAGAGAGAGAGATAATAGGTTGGTATCTGTACCTACATAAGAAGAGAGAGTAGGTACAGGTAGAGAGAGTAGGAACAGAAAAAGAGAGAGTAGGCCCAAAGAAAGAGAATAGGTACAGAGAAAAAGAGTAGGTACAGAGAAAGAGAGTAGACCCAGAGAAAGAGAGTAGGTACAGAGAAAGAAATTAGGTACAGAAAAAGAGAAAGAAACACAAAGATATTCAGCACCTCGACGCGCTGCTGTTCAGACGGGATGCCGACGCTCTGAGTGGATGGATAGAGAGCAGGTACGTACAGAGAGAGAGAGACAACGGGTACATATGGAGAGAGACGCGCGCAGTTAGAGGCTGCCTGGGAGAGACGCAGCACTGTCTACGCACAGCATCTGGACGCGTTGCTGTTCAGACGAGATGCCGACGCTCTGAGCGGCTGGATAGAGAGCAGGTACGTACAGAGTGAGAGAGAATAGGTTGGTATCTATACCTACCTAAGAAGAGAGAGTAGGTACAGGTAGAGAGAGTAGGAACAGAAAAAGAGAGAGTAGGCCCAAAGAAAGAGAATAGGTACAGAGAAAGAGAGTAGGTACAGAGAGAGTATTAGAGTAGGTACAGAGAGAGTAGGAGAGTAGGTACAGAGGAAGAGAGAAGGTACAGAGAAAGAGAGAAGAAGGTACAGATAAAATGAGAGTAGGTACAGTGAAAGTGAGTAGGTACAGAGAAAGAGAGCAAGTACAGAGAGAGTGGGTATAGAGAAAGAGAGAGTAAGAGAGAGAGCCGCGGCCTCTAGTTGAGCCGCGCGCAACTAGAGGCTGCCTGGGAGCGACGCAGCACCGTCTACGCTCAGCATCTGGACGCGTTGCTGTTCAGACGGGATGCCGACGCTCTGAGTGGCTGGATAGAGAGCAGGTATAGAGATAGAGAGAGATGGTGTGTGTGTGTGTGTGTGTGTGTGTGAGAGAGAGAGAGAGAGAGATTAGGTAGGTACAAAGGAAGAAAGAGTAGGTACAGAGAAAAAGAGTAGGTAGAGACACTCAGGCCAGCTCGTAAATTGAAACTGCTGAAATAAATGACATGCGCTGAGTTTCTTATGTTGTTTCTTTTCAGCACTTACTTTAAGAGACATTTAAAGGTTCCATAAGAGTAAAACTTTGTTTTTAATTAGTCTTTTTTTATTTGACTATTTGTAAGCAATATTTTATTATGCAAATAAAGAAATTTTGGCTTTGACTGGGACGTGTAAGCCCTTTTTAAAAGCCTATTTGCAGAATATAAATAAATAAATAAATCTATATATATAAAAATGAAACCCGTTTCGCGTTGTCACGGCATCACGTGTGAACGGCTGAACCGATTTCGATAATTCTTTTTTTTAAATGTTTGTGGAAGTCCAAGGATGGTTCTTACGGAAAAAAATATTAAGAAAATCTCTACGCTAAGGCGGTACGAAGTTCGCCGGGTCAGCTAGTAATAAATAAAAATCATTTATTGTTTCCCACAACCAAAATTAAAAAGGTAAAGTTACAGTTAAAATTAAAACTAGAGTAATTTAAATACAGGAAACAAAAGGCCATGAGGTTCAGCTCAAGCTGCCTCGAGAGCAAGTCCCGGGCTGCGCTGTTTTTCAACCTTGCCCAGCTCTCTGAAAGTGACAGTTGGAGCAATTCGTAATGGTGCTAGCTGACATAAAAAACTATGCATCACTGTTACCGTGTTTGCCTGTATGTGTATGTGTGTGTGTGTGTGTGTGTGTGTGTGTGTGTGTGTGTGTGTGTGTGTGTGTGTGTGTGTGTGTTTTACTTCAGTCTTCCCTCACTAAATGACTTCTATCTTCCAGAGTGCCACTAGTCCGCGACGGCAAGTACGGCGAGAGCGTGGCTCAGGTGGAGGAGCTCATCAGCCGCCACCGCGACTTGGAAGAAACCATCGAGTCGCAGCGGGACAAGTTTAACGCGCTCAAACGCATCACGCTGGTGAGTTCTTCTTCAAATCAAATTAAATCATTTATATGCATTACATGTGTAGTTTCCTTTCTTTAAAGTTGCTCCATATTGTGTAAACTTGATATCTTTAGCCGCCACCGGCTAGGATGCCACTAGGATGCGCGCCGCAATAAGCCTTCATCGATTTACGTAATAAGCTTTTCTTTTTAACGCGCTGAAGCGTATCACGCTTGTGAGTATACATAACAACTTAACTAGTCTTTTATACTGCCTGTGTAAGTTTCTATAACTACGGAATTTTCTTCAGTTAGATCCGGTTTTCATCAAAGCCATGGTGGAAACCGGGCCTTAATCAGGTCTTTTCTGTGCCGTAAACTCTCAAGTGCTGGTCATGAGTGACCACATTATACTCGTAGTAAGCTATACACCGTGAACTTTTAGTGCCATATTAACACAACGGTGTAACATGCAACCACTGAAAGGCATACAGGAAATTATCATGACGTTGCTATTTCCCAAAATTCAAAGGGGTCCAATGTTTAATGCATCCCAACTAATATTATAAATGCGAAAGTAACTCTGTCTGTCTGTCTGTCTGTCTGTCTGTCTGTCTGTCTGTCTGTCTGTCTGTCTGTCTGTTACGCTTTCCCGCTTAAACCTCGCAACCGATTTTGATGAAATTTGGCATAGAGATAGTTTGAGTCCCGGGAAAGAACATAGGATAGTTTTTATCCCGGTTTTTGAAACAGGGACGCGCGCGATAAAGTTTTTCTGTGACAGACAAAATTCCATGCGGGCGAAGCCGCGGGCGGAAAGCTAGTATTAAATAATAATTAACCCTTTTCTTAACCCTCGCCCAGGTGGAGCAAGCCTTCGCAGCGATGCGCGACGAGGAAGAAGCGGCCAGGCGACGCTCGGCAGAAAGGCAGGAGGCTGAAAGGATGCAGCAGTACAGACGCCGCGAGCTACAGAGGATCGCTGAGGAGAGAAGACAGGAGGCCACGCCGCCTGCACAGCCGCCTAGAGAGGTAGGTAGCAAGCTAGAGAGGCAGGAAGCAGGTTATATTGTTAGGTAGGAAGCTAGCTAGAGAGGTAGGAAGTTTCCCAAATGAGTAGGAAGTCAGCCAGAATAATAGCAAGCTGGCTGGAAAGTTAGGCAGCTAGTCAGAGGGGTAGGAAGTCAGCCACAGAAGTAAGAAGCTGTTCAGAGAGATAGGAAGTAGGCCAGAGAGGTGTGATGCTGAACAGAGAGGTACGAAGCTGGCCAGAGAGGTAGGCAACTGGTACAGAAGCGGTCAGATGCCGATGAGCAGAAAGACAGGAGGCTGAAAGGATGCAGCAGTACAGACGCCGCGAGCTGCAGAGGATCGCTGAGGAGAGAAGACAGGAGGCCACGCCGCCTGCACAGCCGCCTAGAGAGGTAGGGAGATAGCTAAAGAGATAGCTACAGAGGTAGGAAGCAGGTCAGAGAAGTGGGGAGATAACTAGAGAGGTAGGAAGCAGGTCAGAGAAGTGGGGAGATAGCTAGACAGGTAGGAAGTAGGCCAGAGAGGTAGGAAGCAGGTCAGAGAAGTAGGGAGATAGCTAGAGAGGTAGTAAAACAGGCCAGAGAAGTGGGGAGATAGCTAGACAGGTAGGAAGCAGACCAGAGACATAACAAGCCAGCCAGGGAGGTTGTAAACCGGCCAGAGTAATAGCTATGATGGTCAGAGAGGTGGAAAGCAGGCCTAAGTAGTAGGAAGCCAGCCTGTATGGTAGGAAGCCAGCCTGTATGGTAGGAAGCCAGCCAGAATGGTAATAAGACAGCCAGAATGGTAGGGAGCCAGAGAGGTAGGAAGCAAATCAGAGTGATAGGAAGCAGGTCAGAGTGAGATAGACAGCTAGTACCGTAGCGACAGGGGGCTGTGTATGTTACATTTCAAGACCGAAACAGCTCACAACGCGTTGTGATAATTGTAAAACATTTTGCGAATTTCGCGTTATGGCTGCTTACGAAAACGTCGACACGTTATTGCAAAGCTGACCATGACTCGTTGAAACGTCGGGAGGGTAAATATCTTATTTACCGTTATAAAAGTTCTGTAGTAAAATCCCGTGAAGTGATAATTTTACAGTAAAAAATGCAACATTAGTTTAAAATTTTATATAACAATAAAATTTTCTTCCCAGGTGGAGCGCGTACTGGGCCAGTCTACGGAGACCTTGGAAGAGGCATCGCCCGCGACGTTAGAACGCCTGCCCAAGCACGACGCAGCCGTCAAGCGAGCCGAGAGCATGAGTGTAAGTATCTTACTATCTCTCTCACACACATAGAAACCCTAACACGCTTAGAAATCTTACTAAAGTCTGGTCCGTGAGCACGTAGAATTTTGTCCAATGACCCCAAGCTACCCATCCTTATCGCTCGCGCGTAATTATGTTGCTGTCGCGACTGTGCGACGGGCGCCCGCAGTGAGTGTGCGAGCTTTATCTACTATCTCTCACATACACACCCAAAGCTCCGAAAACCAAACTCTAAGGCTGAGTTGCACCATGAACATTTATTTCCCATTAGAAACATAACATAACCACATAAAGGAACCCTAACACATACCCTAAGGATCCTTTGCTATGAATAAATAATTTGAATTTGCCATGGCAGTTCAATTCTGTGAGACCACTTCAGTACTGGGTCCCGCAGAAAGCACTGTGTTGCTGTTACGGGATTTTGCAAAAAAATATGCGGATGCTGCCAGTGGGTACACTTTATTAAATAATGCCTTGTAGTTAAACTGGATCCTGTCACGCAAATATCAATCTATCACGTACATTATCCTTTGTTTACGTTAAGTTTTACTCCCTCATTGTCTTTCAATTCTCGTTCATCTTTTTTCTATCAATTGATATTGAAGTCAAATGCATAATAATCAGTGCTAAAAACATTTTTTTCATCATCGAAGTAACAGCTTATGATCATTCCCCAAATGAAAATTAATGCAATATTATTACGTACCGCAGGTGGTGAAGACTCCAAAGCGAACGCCGTCGTTCACAACGCGTCGCCGCACGCAGAGCTTCCGTCGTCACCGCAGGCCTGAAGAGCTGCCGCCGGTTGAGATCGAAGGTAAAATTAAATCAAATATTACACCCCCCTTCAATATAACCCCAGAAACGAATTCAAACCCTCCATCTAAAGCTGCCGGGCTAGGATACACGCCGTGATTAACACCCCGTATTCACAAACGATGCTTGTTTAAGTTAAGCAAAAAATCGAACGCTCAGCGTTGAATACAGCTCTTTGATTGGTTCGTGTGTCACCCTGTGCGTCCACGCGCACAGTGAGACCTCATAATAATGTTTGTGAATACGAGCGTAAATCATATGGGTGAATTTAGGCAACAAATGTATGGGCTTATTGCGTAAAATCAATAAAATCGCGCATCCTAGACCTATTGGAAAGCTATATTTTTCCATATAGTGCAGGATAATAACGATTTTGTTTACCTAGAATTAGAAAACTCGTTTTTCCGTCTAGTACTTCAAAACTTATTTTCCCATCTACTGGTGAAAAACACTTCGATAACGTTTTTATAATGCGAACAGCTAAGGGCTACAGTGAATAGACATTTACTGGGCAGATATGTATCATCCTGGACTGCATCTCACTTGTGCAATTGCGGTCAAATACCTGCCTTGTTATGCATAAAAAAACCTCGATTTTTAGGGTATTGGTTTGTTTGTCGTCAGTATGTACTACCAACAAATTAACCTTGTGATTTCAATTCCTTGAACGGTTTTAAAGAATTTGTCACCAAATTGCTGTATATGTTACGGTCAAAGTGATAAATGTTAAAATTATGAATAATCGCCGGTTATTATGAATAATTACCGCATGATATGGTAAATGTGATTAATATGAGGTCATTTATGTGTGTATGAAACTAAATAGGCGGCTTAGGGGTGGCCCAAGGGCCACCCCCGCCGCACCTTAACCTATTTTTCACTTTAAATCAAAACATTATGTTATAGGCATAATGGAAAAGTAATATTATGCAAGAAACATTCCAAACTCATTATGCCAAATTATATTAATATATGATATCAAAACGTTCAAAAGTTTGGCTGTACACGAGCACGTACACAAGATGTTGTTGTCTTTTTAACACAAGATGTTGTTGAAAATTTGTTAGTACTAAAGTTGAATTATTAAATAATCACTGTTAAATGTGATTAATTTATCACTTTTACCGCGGCTGTTGGTAATTATTAATAATAACCGGTTGTTATTAATAATTTTCAATTTATCACATTAACCGTAACATACAACGTGTCCCAAAATTCAAGGATAAGCCGGCGCCGCAGGGTGGACCTAGTCATGACTGCTTTAGGAAAAATAAGAAAAAAAATCTATCTCAATTATTTTTTAAGTTACACAATAAATTATGAAATTCGTCGAAAATTGACACCCCTTATAATATTTTACATTACCACGACTACAATTTTTCGAATACTTCAGTTTTTTTGTTTGTATCGGCAACTTAAGTAGTGCTGCTGTCCACCCTAATTCTTAAAACCCTCAGAATCCTTGCAGTTTTTACACAAAAGTTAATCAAAATATGATATTTCCTTAAAATTTTGAACGATTTTTANGTATACATATTTTGCGCTTATTTCGATATTGCATTTCCTCACTTCACCCGCAGGTTTCTTGGAGCGTAAGCAAGAGGCCGGCTGCGGCGGCAAGCGAGCCACCGTCCGATCCTGGCGCGGTTACTACTCGGTGCTGTGTGGACAATTGCTGTGCTTCTTCAGGGATGAGCTGGACTTCGCGAGTTCCAAGGCCGCCGCGCCTCCTGTGGCTATACTTAACGTGAGTGTTACGCTACATTACGCTACAGTACGCTACAACGCGCTACAGGACGCTACACTTCTGAATAATTACGAAATGAGCTAGACTTCTCAATGCTACGCCTCCTGTGGCTATACTAACGTGAGTGTGACACGATACAGTGCGCTACAGTACTCTACAGTGCACTACAGTATACTACAATACACTACAGTGCGCTACGGTACGCTAAAACGCGCTACAGTACACTACAGAGCCACCGTCCGCTCCTGGCGTGGTTACTACTCGGTCCTGTGTGGACAATTACTGTGCTTCTTTAGGGATGAGCTGGACTTCGCCAGTTCTAAGGCCGCCGCCCCTCCTGTGGCTATACTTAATGTGAGTACAACACGCTACAGCGCGGTACATGACGCTACAGCGCGATACAGTACGCTACAGTGCCCTTCTACTTAGCTATAGTACGGCTCCGTCCGTTTCAAGAGCCCAATTGGCCTTACTAACACTTCGGGACAACATATGGGCTGGTGCTGAGAAGAAGTGGCGGAAGAAACTATAATAATAACTAAATATAATGCAGGAAAATAAAGTTTATCAATAGTAAAGGAGCTCTAATAAAAATGTCCTCTTTCTCCTCAGGCCACGTGTTCACCGGCCGGCGATTACACAAAACGCGCGCACGTATTCCGTCTGGCCTGCGCGGACGGCGCCGAGTATCTCTTCGCCGCCGCCACCCGCGACCTGATGAGAGACTGGGTGGCCAAGCTCGCCTTCCATGCTCAACTACCGCCGGAGTTACAGCTGACTCCGTACTCGCCTAACACAAGTCCGCAAGATGAGAATAATGTGGAACTCAGGAAAAGGCTGCAAAAGTAAGTATTAGTTCAGTCATTGACCAATAGATGGCGTTGTTCATAGTCGAAATTTCACCTATTATAAGTCCGCAAGATGAGAATAACGTCGAGTTGAGGAAAAGGCTGCAAAAGTGAGAAAACCTTTTTAAGTCGCGCATTGAATGACAACTAACGCTCTGCTAGCTGAAAAAGCAGACCGCAAGAAAGCAGAAGCAGCTAACCGCGTAATTTGGTACATTATTTGACCAATAGATGGCGTTGTGTGTAGTTGAACCGCGATATCAAAATATTTTTTCGGCACCATGAATAGGAAGACACTGCAGAAGTAGGTATACCATATCATTGGTGTTGCTAAAGCTTTTTCAACACACCATGTGGCATATACTACCACTCTCTCGCCACCCGTGACGTCATGCGAGACTGGGTGGCCAAGCTCGCCTTCCTTGCTCAACTACCGCCGGAATTACAGCTGACTCCGTACTCGCCTAACACAAGTCCGCAAGATGAGAATAATGTGGAGTTGAGGAAAAGGCTGCAAAAGTGAGTAAAATTACATTTTAGTTCCTTTACTGACCAATAGATGGCGTTGTAAGCTAAAGCAGATGATGCGTAACTTAGTTCGTTCATTGACCAATAGATGGCATTGATCGTCGTAGTTGAACCGCGATATTAGAGCATTTTTGGCAGCATAAGTAGAATAGAGAGACACTGCAGAAGTAGGTGTACCATGTCCTTGGTATTGCTAAAGCTTTTTCAACACACCATGTGGCATATACTACCACTCTCTCGCTACCCGCGACTTGATGAGAGACTGGGTGGCCAAGCTCGCCTTCCATGCTCAACTACCGCCGGAGTTGCAGCTGACTCCGTACTCGCCGAATACAAGTCCTCAGGATGAGAATAATGTGGAATTGAGGAAGAGGCTGCAAAAGTAAGTAATAGTTCAGTCATTGACCAATAGATGGCGTTGTTCATAGTCGAAATTTCACCTATTATAAGTCCGCAAGATGAAAATAACGTCGAGTTGAGGAAAAGGCTGCAAAAGTGAGTAAACCTTTTTAAATCGCGCATTGAACAAAAATTGTAATCGTAAGTAAGCAAAAGCAGCCAACCGTGTAATTTGGTACATTATTTGACCAATAGATGGCGTTGATCGTCGTAGTTGAATCGCGATATTAGAGTATTTTTTCGGCACCATGAGTAGAGTATAATAGAGAAACTGCAGAAGTAGGTATACCATGTCATTGGTATTGCTAAAGCTTTTTCAACACACCATGTGGCATATACTACCACTCTCTCGCTACCCGCGACTTGATGAGAGACTGGGTGGCCAAGCTGGCCTTCCATGCTCAACTACCGCCGGAGTTACAGCTGACTCCGTACTCGCCTAATACAAGTCCTCAGGATGAGAATAATGTGGAACTCAGGAAGAGGTTGCAAAAGTAAGTACACCATTAAGTTACTTCTAGGCCCCCCATTTAAAAAATAACTGACATTCGGCCGCGGCCAGTTGAGAGAGTCTGTTATCTGGCAAGTAAAAGCAGACGACGCGTGGCGTAATTTACTTCAAGCGTTGACCAATAGATGGCGTTGATCGTCGTAGTTGAATCGCGATATCAAAATATCTTTTCGGCAGTATAAGTAGAGTACGGAGATACTGCTGTAGTATTGTCGTTGAAATTCACGAAGGTGAGTGAGCTTTACATGTGTGGTAGCTCGCTACTGTTCGTGTTTCAAAAGTGTTGATAGACATTATGTGCATGTACGTACACGTACACACACAAGTAAAGTTCACTCGCCTTCGTCAGCTGCAAAAACTATAAGCCTTTGTAGATTATTGGCGGTCAAGCTGTAGATCTACACAGATTGCAACGGTGGAAAAGAGTAGTGAGAATAGTCCCGTTTCAATACTAACCATCCTCTATGTCCCAGGAACGCCGGCTCATCGTCATCATCAGCGGCGTCGTCTCCCGAACCAGCGAGGCAGTCTCGCTCGCAGGCCGAGATCCTTCAACAACACCGCTCGCAACAACGCTCCTCCGCCACGCCAGAACGGAGCGAGAGAAATATTGGTGAGTTAGAACCACTTTAGAGAGGGAATTGATGTTTCTGAAAAGGAATGAGAAAGAATAATCCGTAAAATGAAGTCGCTGATATAGCCCGGCAAACTAGCATAGCAAGTCAAAACCCTACGAAACGAGAGGAATATCGGTGAGTTGGAACTTTGTAGAAACAGAGACTTGTTTGGTGACTGTACTTAGTGTTTCTTTACTAGCAACAATTAGAATGATGCAAGCACAGAGTTGCTTGTGATCTTACTCACACGTGCACCAACATAACGGAGTGAGAAGAATATTGAGTTAGAACCACAGACACGAGAAAAAAGCTATGCTTGGTGTGTCTTTACAAGAAGAAACCGACTTCTAGTGAAAGTCCCGCAAAAACAAATGACGTTCTACTAGTTCATAGAGAGAGACCCGCATTAAAAAAGAAATGACGCTCTGTCGGTTGAGAGAAAGACCGCTCAGGTAAGTAAAAGCAGGCGACAGCGTAACTTAATTCGCTCATTGGCTAATAGATGGCGTTGTGCGCAGTTAAACCGCAATATTGAAATATCTTAGCTTATACTATGGAAAGAACTATGCTCCGTGTTTCTTCGTATTTTATTTTCTATGTTACCTACTTTTACATTTATTTCGCTAAAACCGTGAATAAAACATTAAATATTACTTGCAGAATCGACGGTGCTGCCATCATTGCCGCCTCGGCAGCCCCCGCAAGATGACGGAGCCGATATAGTTTTGAGGTAAGGAGACTCAGTTTGGAATGGGATTTGCTACTTCACCTTAACTTCGAACTCCTCCTATGTTCTTCTGAATTATTTCGTTGCGGGTCCAATGACAGTTTAACTTTCCCCCGGAACGAACTTGACCTTCACTGGTTGGGTTATGGCGGTCAAGCTGTAGATCCTGGCTACACAGGAGTTGCAGCGGTGGGAACGAGAGGCGGGAAAAGTCCCGTTAAAAAAAAGTTAGCATTGAGATTCGTCGCTAGCGAGTGCGTCAAAAAATCTATGAAGATTTTGAAGACGCTGTACGATCTGTCATACAATTATTATTATTTTTAACGCAGTCGCTAAAGCCTGGTCCGTGAGCACGTAGAATCCCGTCCAATGACCCCAAGCTACCCATCCTTATCGCTCGCGCGTAATTATATTGCTGTCGCGACTGTGCGACGCGCGCCCGCAGTGAGTGTGCGAGCGGGACAGCAGACAGACAATTATGTAATTGTGTAAATAAACGTGCGAGCGACAAGGATGGGCAGCTTGGGGTCATTGGACGGGATTCTACGTGCTCACGGACCAGGCTTTAGATGGCTTCTCAAAATAAACTGAGTCCTAAATACCCATTTCACTTTTCTTCGCTTGTCCTGCTCGTCACTATTCTTTACTCTTTATTATATTCACAACTTTAAAACTTCAAAATGTATTATTTACAGAAATTCTGAACAAACCAGCTCGTGGGGTAGATCACGGTTTTCAAACGGGCGCGACATCAACGCAGAGTTCATAAAATCACAGAAAGAAGGTATGTTTTAAACTATCTCCCTCTTACCTATAGTATAAAATATGAAAAGGGCAGCACTATGAAAGTGACAACTTCAAAAAAAATTTGGAGTTTTCAATTTGTAGTGCGGTCTCTTTCGTGTGTTATAAGTTCGAAAAGGACAGTGTTTCTGATTCGTCTTACATCAATAATTGCACTGGCACGAATGAAACGCTGAATGGAATGCGATAGCATGATGGATTTTGATGAATGAGTTTTAAAACTAGGAAAAAATGGTTTTTAAAGTTTTTGAACGACCGAATGAATGGATTTATTTATCATTCACTCATAAAATTTAAGTTATTAGCACTGAAATAGAGTTCTGGAAAAGTGAACGGGATCGAATGATATTTATAGGTTAATTATTTCAATATTTATTGGAAAATTTAAATTGTATTCAATATCTTGTCAATATTCTGCTATAAAAGGTTAGACTTTATAGCCTGACCAGGAACATAAAAACCCTCGCCATGTTGCGGAAAACTAATGGTACTAATTTCTTTTAATGGCAACAATAACTGAAAACTTCATTGTCATGTCACCTTGCATGTCAGTCTATTGCTGTCAAAGTGTAAACAAACTTTATTTTAAATGTGCGCAATTGATTTTGTGAATTAAATTGCTAAAATCTTTTTATAGTCGTGAAAGAAAAGTGGTTNTGTACGTAATACTTATTATTATTCTGTGGTAGTACATATTCACATTTTACTGTCTTTCGATTTTTTTCTGCAGGACTAACATTTTTTTTAAGTAGTGAACCTTGTATTAAAATAATATTAAACGAAAATGTAGAATTATGTAGATATTGGCTTCTATTATTTTATTAAAATAAGTATTTCTTTTCTTAATTATTGATTTTTAAGTTTTTAGTTTTTTTTCTTGTATAAATCTTTTCAAACTTTTTTGCTCTTATTTTTTATTTCTTTTCATTTGGCTGTAAATTTTATTAGATTTATTTACTTCACTTTTTATTTTTTATTGATTATTTACTTTTTATTTATTAGAAATAAAGTTTTCTTAGAGATTGCCAATTACTTTGAAGTGTGCCATTCAGTATTACCTACGCGTTCAGCAGTGGACGTCCTGTGGCTGAAATGATGATGATATTGATGATGATGATGATTCAGTATTACACATTTGTGTATTGATTTTCTTTTTCTTCTCATCACGAATACTTTTTGTCCTGAAGCTGTTGGTATTTTTTTCAACGTCTACTTCAATTTAATTGGCTATCCTTTAGAGGGTGCTGTGATATACTTCTGTATTTTGTGAATATTTACACCCTTTACAGTAAATAGCTGATAAAAATGTCGCTAGATATGTCAAGCGAGGAAGATGTTATATGATTCTTTAGGTGTTGCTCGTCTTAAAAATTATTTTCTTTATGTTTTTCGTATATTTTGAGGGCCCTTCGAGATCGTAGGCTCAAAGAATGTGTATTTCCGACGTTCTTAACATATCTAGTGATACGTACCGTGACAATTAATATCCCTAGTGCTTAAACAATGTTTATTTTGTAATTTGAACATGCATCCAGGATCAAGCCATCTCTTGTATGTGCTCCACCGGGTCAAATGTACGCTTTATATGTATATTTTTATGTATTTTGTGTATTATGCGCTTCGTTCTGTGTTTGGTACTTTTGTGTTGTGTTCTTTTGGTTTTTATTCGCTTATTTATATTTCTTCTTGTATAGTGTATTTAGTCCTTTTATATCGTCATTTTTTACTTTTTTCTATACTATATTTTGTATGATTTTAAGATCAGGCATCATGGTCTAGAAATAATTATGATTCACTCCAATCTTTGCGTGAATTAATGGGTGCATTTGGCGGAAAATAAAAATTGTAAGCGCTTATAAGCAAAATGCCGAACGCAAAGCGGTAAGCGCTGTCACTGCTTAAAAAATGAATGAAACATTGAAGTTAGCAAATGTTAGCAAACGTGTCGTCGCTGAAAATTGCCGTAGCGATCGCCATTTTGCTTATAAGCGCTTTTTTCCGACAAACACACCCATTGAATTTTATTTTTAGACCAAAAATGTTATACATTTTAAGCTTTGCTTAGTTTGGGACTAGATGGCGCTGTGTATGAAGCCCAAGGTTTTTGTGCTGCGTTTTATTTTAGATGCTTCATGTAGAGGTTTGGTCGCTTGGTGTATTGAATTGCCGTATTTTTGTTGGATGTTTTATTTTTAGAACTGCATTATTTTTTGTTTTCTTGTTGCTTGTGGATTGGAATTTTGTAGTGTTTTTATAATTAGTAGTGTTTCTACTGTATGTATTCATAAAAAATCGAAACATAAAATATAAATAGTTACATTGTTTTATGCTATATGTGACAAGGGGTGTAAAGAATAGTTTATTTTTTATGAATACTTCAGTGTATATGACAAAACAAATATTACTACAGGCGCACACAGGTGAAATTTGCTCAAAAGTTGGCCAAAATTACGTTAAGTGTGTTTATGCCTATATATTGCTGTAGTCTGTCTAAAATAATAGTTTAAAGGTGATTTAAAAAGAAAAAGTAACAAATGTTTTCATTTATGTATTTAGTCTTACTAATAATTTGTTAAAAATTTGATATTTTTTTAAAAATACAATTACGATGCAGAAGTTATTTTTGGTTCTTTTAAAAGTTTTATTACATCTTAAGGATAGGGAATACTAATGGAATGCTATTCTGGGAACTGCCTGAAAACATATTATGAGTATTTTTAAAATTCATAAAAATTGTCAGTTTTGCAATATTTTGTTTAGGTGACGCAGTTTGACGCAGCTAATTTTGGTGTTATATGAAAGCCATAGATATGTTCTTTCGAAATATGTAAAAGAAACGGGTTGATCGCGCTTGATCATGAACTTTTTCACTGTTTAAAAAAATAAACTGTTAAAATATAGACTTCTATTCAAACCTATACAATATGTAACAAAAACACCGTCCGATCCGAAAGGGTCATAAAGTAGCTTTAACAACATTACCAAAACAAGTATCAAAATTACGTAATTAATAAAAACAATTTTTTTATCGATTTTTAAAGTCAATAAGTTTAGCAATGATTTACCCTACAACGGGGAAATTTTCAAAAAGCGTTAACACTCTGTCGGCGCGCGGCTTTTTTTAAGACGCTGGGGGTCATGACCTTATGACGTCGCTACGCGTGCCGGCGCATCTCTACCCCTCCCGCGTACCCTCTACACTGCCGTTTGGATTGCCATGTAAGCTATTTTATTTTTGTAAATTTTGTATTTATTTTTCATGGGGTATTTTTTTTATAATATTTTATGAAAATTATTACACAAATGGAATCTTAACTCGATACCTATTAACACCTTAATGGATCGGACGGTGTTTCCGTTACATATTGTATATCTATAACATGGTAAGTAATGTAGACTGTTTAGTAATACAGAAATAATAAACTAACCTGGAAGTATAGAATCCATATGTTTTATACCAAATATCAACTAAATAAAAGTTAAACGTTGTTGTTAAACAAGAGCTAAAAATTATAATAAATTACTCAACAAGAAAAACTGTTTAAATCAAATGTTGTGGGTATCTGGATAAAAAGTGTTAAACTTTTTAAATATCATTTATAGATGGCGCCATATGTCTTGTTCCTATATTAGGTTACTGATTTAGAATCGGAGTAACTTTGCTTTTTTTAATTTTGGCCACAAATTACGTACATTTCACCTGTGTGAGGCGTAGCGATCAACTTAGTAGGTTCTAGGCTGTAGCAGAGCGACGTAGTTGTTACGTCATACATGTATATTGACAGCTCTATAATGTCACATGTCACCTCGTGACAGCTAGCTCTATTACGTCACTTGTCACCCCGTGACAGTTCTCTTACGTCACTTGTCACCCCTCCCGCACAGCTCCTACCTCAGAAACCTACTCAATGAGGGCTATCGTTTTTATACTTAACAGTTGGCACCCCTGGCGATTGACAGGACCTTACTCTACAGTGGCGCCATCTTGATGAGTGCAAATGCGATAGTCCTCCTACCACTTTCGCGCTCACCAGTTGGTGCCACTGTCTTCGCTACTAGCAAGTGACAGGACCTTACTCTACAGTGGCGCTAACTGGTGAGCGCTAAAACGATAGCCCTCATTAAGCGCTATGCCTGTAGCAACATTTTCCATCTCACTCTTCGCCTACTCCACGTCACGTGACAATCGCCACGCCCCCAGTAAGGCAGTAGTAATCAACTTTGAACCTTATTCCCTCAGCATACGGTGGGAACAGCAGCACACGCCCGGCTTCCGTTGCCGGCAGCGGAGGATCGCCCGCGCTTGACCAGAGACCCGCTTCTAGGTACGTACTCTTTGGAAATCTATCTTTATTACTATTGAATTAAAATAGAAATAGTTTAAACTCTTATGCTATTGGATTGTTACTAAACTCAAAAAACTCATTTTTGCAAGTACGCTTTTAAAAAGCACTTTTACACGTCCCAGTGTTAACCCTACCACTGCTTCGGGACAATAAATGGGCCAGTGCTGAGAAGAAGCAGCGCAGGAAACTCGAGTCACTATTGTCAGCTTTGGTCCAAAAATGACGAATAAAAAAACATTTTTAGAATCCTTACGTTAAGACCTTTTTTTTTCATTTATTTACCAAATAAAAAGAATTACAGACAAAATTTGTTTTGACAGCATTCAGGAAACCACTAAGGTTTGTGTTGATGCTGTTGCAGTTCTAAATCGATACTTATGGTTACAATAATAACATTTCCCACGGCAATTAAGTATTGTTGCTGTCTTTAACAAATACTATAATCCGGGCCTTTCTAAGGCGAGGGTGAATAGGCACTTACAGGGCAGATAGGTACCATCCTAGACTGCATCTCACTTAACACCAATTGCGGTCAGATACCTGCCTTGTTGTGCATAAAAAATATAAAAAAGAAACCATAAATAATTCCAAGTTTTCCCTACAGGTCGTCCGGAGAATCCGAACTGTCGGTGAGCGGCGTCACAAAGGAGAAGAAAGACAAAAAGGGCGTCTTCGGAGGCCTGTTTAGCAGGAAGAAGCGGCCTCAGAGCCACATGTAGGCTCCACGCGTAGACTAGTCAAGAGCAGTTACAACTTAACATTTTAAACTTTCGCGTTCCATTTCAATGAGGGTTTTCGCGAATGAAAGATCCGATAGATGGTGGGACGTGGATGTGGGGTCTGACTGCTGCGTGATTGGTGGATTTTGACATATCTGTCAATGTCATGTCAAAAATAACCAATCATGCAGCATTTGGACCTCGCGTCTACGTATTGCCATCTGGCGGATTTTTCATTCGCAAAAACCCTCATTAAAGTAGTAAGACACGGGTCTTAACGTCTGCTTGTGACCACGGCTGTAGCATCGCAGCCGAAACGTCAAGCCGTGAGTACATAATGTAACTCATTAATAAACGTCGCGTTAAGACCCGTGACTTACTATTTTAAGCAGTTACAACTGACCACCCTTTAATACTAAAAAGGTGAATATTTTTCACCAAGCTTGAATTAATAAAAAAAATCTATATTTTGAACTAGTTACACTACTTAAAAGCAATAAATATACAATATGTAACGGAAACACCGTCCGATCCATTAAGGTGTTAATAGGTATCGAGTTAAGATTCCATTTGTGTAATAATTTTCATAAAATATTATAAAAAAAATACCCCATGAAAAATAAATACAAAATTTACAAAAATAAAATAGCTTACATGGCAATCCAAACGGCAGTGTAGAGGGTACGCGGGAGGGGTAGAGATGCGCCGGCACGCGTAGCGACGTCATAAGGTCATGACCCCCAGCGTCTTAAAAAAAGCCGCGCGGC